AGTCAATGCAAGAAGAAGGCAGAAGGCATTCAGAGCTTAAAAAACAGAGGTCTTATTAAACAGCATATATAATAACTTGTGCCAGGCAGGGGCAGGAAATCCAATTTATCTTATCAGTACACTTCACAAATGCCTGAAGCATGTTTGCTTTTGCATTTTGTGAGTTACAGTTAATCTAGAACTGGATGGAGCATTTAATACACTTACAACTGAAATGTGCTGAGCTACGTAGCAAAAAGAGACAGTTCATACTGAACAAAATGTTTTGGGGTTTTTTGCAGAATGATGATGAGTATTACCTTCTGAATGTGTCTTGCTATTTCAGAAAGGTGTAACTGAAAAACAATTTAGATGAGGAGAATTATAAATGTAAGCCCATTTATCTGTCTATTTCGTGCTAATCTTTGATTTATTAGCATGAAATAGATAAATAGATACTTAACACAGAACACAAAGATTACATTATGCTTGATCCATCTCTACAGGACTACATATCTTGGTGCGTAGATTGATGGCTTGACCCCTGATCATCACACAGAGCAGCGAGGTACTGGATTAAACGGACTAAAGATCTTACAGGATGAGCTTTTGCTTGCGTCCTTGGGTGATGTGGTGGCTCAGTGGAGTGAGGATCCACCCTGTAGCCCCGGTTCTGCTGTACACCAGATGGTTGCTACTGGGAGCCAGCTAAGAGCCTTCCTGGTGGCCACTCAGACTTAACACAGAGGGGGCTGTCTGTTATGAAGAAATGTCTTCAGACAGACTAATTAAAAAAGGTCTTTTTCGTCACGCCTTCCCATCTGTTAAGAGCACAACCTGATGGAATGGCTGTTTCTCTATGCAATTAACAACAATATCTCAGTGAGCTGCTTTTTTTTAATCAAATACTTTCACCTCTTCTGTAGGAATAATGAAATGTTTTATGATCACTAATCTCCAGAGTGCAATTTGCAGGCTTATATGAGTCCTGAAACCTTAAAAAGAAAAACAGTAAACGCTTTGATAGGCATGTAAGTGATTAACCTCGCTGTAGCGTGCTGCAACATGTCCAAAAAACATTGTAATCAATGACTTCATAGTTTATTTTTTCTGCTTAACTGTGTATAACCTATTTTCCCCCAAATAATGAATATTCATTACACACTGACTCCTCACATCAGTATTCTGAAAGCATTTTAAAACAGTGTTTCCAAACAAAGCCTTTATGTAAATCACTGGTTATCTACAAGCAATCTGGACCATGAGACTACAAGACCACAGATAAAACAAGGTGAGTGCACGTGGTGGGGAGGAGTAGTTCTCCTTATCATGCTTTGACAAGGTCAGTGCATCATGTACTGCATGTACTGACCAACCATGATACGGGATAGACTGCTGAATGAATAACAAGCATGTAAAAAAGATATAATAAAAATATCTTATGCACCGTAGTCACATTTATTCACTCACTGCGCAAAGACAGAGAAAATTACCTGAGCAGGAACACGTGTTTTTGCCAAAAAATATGAATTTTCCCACCCTGCTATCCCTACTTATTCCTCTCTACTTACTTTTTCAGACCGCATAATGAATAGGAAAAAAGCTGCCAGCTCACAGTCAGACCGCATCAGGTTATGTAGGTGTGACTGAGTATGCATCATCGCCGAAACACTCATTACCATTTCAGCTCACAGCCCGTTTGATCTCATTATTATCCAAACCAGGCAATTCGAATGCAGACTCAGGAAGTCCAGTGATAGTGACACGAGGTACCTTATTCACATTTCAATTTGTACCAATATGTTAAATTATTAGCCACACACTACACAACTTATAATGATGATGGCCTTTCTAGCCAGCCTAGCCCCGATGTTTGGCAAAATCACAGAGCAAATGTGTTTAACTCTGACTATAAAGTGAGAATTCATTTTCACACAACTGATTGCTTTTGTTAGATTTTCTCCCTTTAGCATCAACTAAGCTCAGTGCCAAATTACTGGATTTGTCTGAGCACACCCATCCTGAAAAAATCTAGAGCATGGGGCGAAGCTTTCAGGATTCTTAAGGTTTCTGTCTCGGTGCAAAACTGCTCACACATGCAATCCATTTTAGGGATGGAGATGTCAATAGTTACGACTTCCCTGAAGCATGACCAGCGACTGTGTGTGAGGCTTACATCTTGCCCAGGCTCTGGTAATTTAAGGACGCCAGCTTGTTTTAATTACTGTGAATAAGTGGCAGCATGTGGTCAGGTTTATGGGTCTTCTTCAAAGAGCAGGCTTGGTTTAGGCAGACCAATCTGTGGAACTGCAGGGCTGTAAATCCAAAACTGAGCAACTACCCACACTAACAATGCCCTGGGCACATTCAGACAGCCTAACAGGGTTGCAGGGGGAGTGAGGGTTCAATAAGCCTGCTTTAGTAATAATCCACATTATTTCAGCAAACGTGAGGCCACCTAAAATGAAAAATACAGTTAGATTAAAATGAGAGTTTTTCCTTAATCTAAATGGAAGTGTCTTTTAAGGATTTAGGCTGACATTTAGGGGATTTAAACTTCTAAGTGTTGAAATAGCGAGAAAAAAAACCCCAATTACAAAATAGCTTCTGAAACAGTTTGACAGCAGAAACCGCTCTGAGTACTGAAGTCAAGATAACAGACCAAAGAAGACAGAAAGGAATATAAAATGGACTCAAATTTGAGTAGACTGGAATTGTGCTTGATGAAAAAATATCAAATAAAAATGTCAGTATATATTCTTCACAGGGTCAGTGCCAGGTTGGGGTGAAGGAGAGGGGGACTCTTGACTTCTCAGTGAACTCATTTTTATTCTCACACAACACCCAGCTCCCCTACTTATGATCAGAGCCCCGAGGCAAGTAGGCTGGGATATACGGGGCTGACTGTGCTCAGGGGCCATCAGACGTCTGCAGCAGCCTTGGCCAAATGTTTCCACTCAGACACACGCTTCCCAAGAGCAACAAGGTACAGCGCTGACAGGCTTTTGAGTGATTTGTCAGAAGGCTTTTACTTTCTGCCAAATCACTGCTGGCTAAAGAATAACTTGAGAATTTTTTAAAGGATACAGTTTCCTACATTTTATATGCCTCCATTGTGTGTGGCGCATTTGATGTGGTTCTTCCATACAGTGACCTTTACAAGATGTGGAAATGTGTCAAAACCTCACACATGGGTCATTCGCAGAATTTGATTATAAACACGGTGACCAGCTGCTCTTTGCCAGTCAGCTAAACCAACTCCTCGTATGTTTGATCAAAACAGAATTAACAAGGGGGAGACAAGATGTTACTGCACAGCAGGGTCCAGTTTGGCTCTCCATCCACACAGCAACAGCATATTACTCAACAGGACTTCACACTGAGCCGAGGGTTCTCCTGATAGTAATTAATCGCTGTAGTCCTCCACGTTCTCTTTTTACCCCGCTCCATAATATTCAACATTTTGACAGTTGTATCGTGAAGCTGCTATTAATGTAGCTGCATTGAATCAGCAAGTCCATTTATGTCAAAGTCTCTCATTTCACTCTTAGTTTTTCTTTTGCTCCAAACACATAAGCAAAGTGCAAACATGGAGATAAACGAGAGGAAAACTGAGCCAAATTACAAATTCATAATTTGTTTGGGAGGTAACAATAATGTCCTTGTAGAAAAAAAGAACACTGAGTTGGCTGCTGTGAGAACACACTTTGATCTGACATTAAGCATCTTGCTTCCTATTTAATTGAAACGGTTTTATGATCTGCTCAGGTACTCTCATCTCCAGGCTAATTAGACCTTTGCTGAAAATGATTTCAGTGCAGAGTTGGCTAAGTTACCTGTCAACAAAAGGGGGGAAATAATAGCGGACTGTAATCTTCAGGGAACAGTATAATTGACTTTTCCTTCATTTATAAGGATTTCATGAGAAAGAAGATGTTGAATATTATCAGGATTGCGACTTATAAATAGATGTTTCTATAAAGTCAATCTAGATTCACTGGAGCCACTTTATTGGTTACACCCCCTTCTGTCTTCAGATCTGCCTTCTGATCCTTTGTGCTACAAATTCTGTGCTTTGGTGATGTTACAATAATATCAATGCTTTCATTAGACGAGGACAATACAGTCTGCTGTGTGATTTTTTATTTTGTGGAAAAAAATCATTAGCAATGTGAATGTAAAAGTATATGGATCTATACTGGTAAATGGACTGGTTCTTATATAGTGCTTTTATACTCTGAATACGTCTGAGTAATATGAAAGCCCATTTCTGCCACTAAAATAAAAATATTTTTTAAAAAATCCGTAACTCAAAATTGAGCGAAGTTATCAACCCGAAATTTTGAGAAAAGTAACTCGAAATTTCGAGTTGGCTCTGCCAATCACTAATCTATGTGACTGGCATTGTTTTCTTGTTATCCGGAAGGATATGGCTCAGAGGAATGTGCAACAAATTAGCGCTTTCGAGAGTACGTTTGCTGATAGTAACGCCATGTGATTCAGCTAATAACACAAGTCATTTGTGAAGCCAAGCTGAAAATACTCAGCAATTTGTGCCTTAATGACTGGCTGTAATACCGGTAGTTTAGCTGTAGCATTTGTAGCTGAGGGCTTCAGCTTCCGGGTAACAAGGAAATGACGTCATTCACACAGATTACTGCTCGGCACCGCTAACTTGAAATTTCGAGTTACTTTTTTCTCAAAATTTCGAGTTACGGATACTTTTTTTTTTGTGGCGGAAACGGGCTTCCATAGAGTAACAACTTGCTCATTCACTAAAGCACTTTTTTCTACACGCATTCATTTTAAAAGAGAAGATGCTGAATAAACAAACATAAAACAAAAGGGCAAGTGTGCCATGTCTAGTTTTGTAATCCTGTGGCAAAGGTTTCTCCTGGTTAGTTGCTGTTTTAAGCTACCACTGTAGTAAAGGTATTTATTTGGAATTTTGTGAAAATAATTGTAGAATAAATAGTATTAAACACATGAAAGGGTGAAAAAAGTCAACTCCGAATCATCGGTAGGAAGGAACATTTTATTCACAAGTACTGTAAAAGTAAAACACAAGCTGCCATATTGTACATTTATACACAGGGTCTGAAAATCCTATACAAAAAGAAAGGTATTAGAAAATATGGGTTTTGATATGAAATATGACCTTACATATAATAATTTCTTGGAAAAAAGGTCTTGGTTTGGTAATAGTTCTTTAATTCATGAGCATAACCCCACATTAGTGAACACACAGAAATTATTGTAAAAAATTAGAATGGTAAAAAATGGAGTAGAAATCATTCTTAAAAGTGATTAAAAATCTCATGCAGCATCTTCAGAGAGGGCCTGAGATAGTCCATCTTTGTAAAACAAAGAAAACAAAGTCGTATTTGTCATAGATATAGAAGTCAAACACAGCAAGATACGTCAAAGCCAGTCTGTTTTTCTGAACAATCATTTTCACCAATCATCTTTTTTGTCTCCGTGTCAGCTGTTTGATTCATAAGCACATTCTGGCAGCCATGAAGAGCTGATGCCATGATTGATTTTGCTAAATAATGCCGCAATCTTTTGCTTTTCACTGTATCGTTTCATGGAGAAATTCTGGAGTCTTCGTTTGAGACATTAGATCAACGTCAATGATTAGTAGATTAGTAGAGTAGGGACAAAAGAGAACAAACTAGGTGGTTGCCCTTACTCGGTAATGAGGTTCTTATTGTAGTTGCAGTAAATGTATTGGAATGCATAGAGCTGAGGCTTGGTAGCACTTAAAAAAGAAGTAGTGTCTAACAGACTGGCTGACTTGTGCTCATCAGTGCTCCTTTTTATTTTACAGTATATAAAAAGCCCCCAGTCAAAGCCCATTTAGAGAAATAGTGGGCTCACTGATGGGCACCGGTAGAAGTGTAACCAGTCATCATATGATCATTGTAGGTGAGTGGAGGGAAGGTTACGTTGCATGACCACATACTGAGGCACCAGAAAGAATGGCTGAATCAAGAACAATCACTTATCGTCCATCACAGTGCCCCTCTGATTGATATGTTTTGGCTTAAACTTTTATTTTAGTGAGATAAACACGGGCAAGCACAGTTTGAATAAACTCTCCTTCCCACAACAAAACTGCTGCTCTACCTAAGTGCATCCACTGAGACCCATTTTGAACAAGGCAACTGGAGGAGAAAAAAAACATTCACTCTACCCTGCAAGCAGCTTTCACAGGACAGCTGGCAGGAGTTGAGTGATGACAGCAAATACAGTCCTTGATGAAATAACATAGTCCAGTTTGAAAATTTAGAAAACTACAGAACCAGAGAGTTAACATAAGGCGCAGGAGGCTGAATGATCATGGATAAAATGCTGACTGAGGTTTGAAACAAGAGAAAAGGCAGTCTGGGAGAGCAATAACATTAGCTTATTGCTTTTTTCTTTTTACTTTATTTTTCCCCATAAAAAGGACATTTGTACACATCACATATTCATTTAATACACTATACAATGGAATATAAAATATTTTTCTTAAAAGCAATATGTTCAGGGAGTAGGTACGCTTAAGATACCTGCGCCATAGGAAAAATAACGACTCGAAACAAAACAATAAAAAAAGGCACTTCCAGGTGTTGTTCATTGACTCTTGAGTAGGTGATGGCCACTGCTTTGCCATAGAGGCAACAGCGTTTGTGCTCATGTGTCATTCCTCTGCCGTGTCCTGGTAATGAGGCACTGTAGCTAGGTGGTCAAGATTTCCTCTGTTTACATGTTAAGATCCACTCTCATCTCACTTCCGTCTTTTGCTCTTCTTCCCAGGGACTTCTACACACTGACTGCTACATTTCATCGTTCTTTTTCTTCTCACTTCCATTTCCTTTCCTTTCCCGCTCCTACTTACTTTTGTCCTCAGACTTCGACTTCACGTAGCCCCTCCTGAGTGCCAGGTGTTGACATGCTGATGTCAAAGCACGTCACCATCATGACACGGGCCTTGCACAGGTTGACGCAGAACTCCAGCTCCTCTGTGGCCTGTGTCAAGGCCTCCAGATACTCTGGAGATTCTTTATCCAAATTCTGGTCCACCTCAACTGTTGGAATGAGGAAAGCAGGATTTAGTTACATTGTCTGCTACCAAAGTTTATTTGTCATCTTACTCTCAAAGGAAGTGACTTACACTCTCCTATCCACTTGCTGGGGTCCATCATCAGTCGGGCCTTCGTGTCTTCCAGCTCCTCCAATAACACTTGATGCTTTGCCCTCACTTCCTTCACTTGCTGTTGCCTTCTCTCAAGCATCTTCAGCTTACTGTTAAAATACAGCAGGCCCTGAGGGGAAAAAGACAGATTATACTGATTTAAGTAACTATCAAAAATGCAGTTAAAAAGTTCAAAAGGTTGCATTACATTAAAAAGGGAAGCTATCAGTAAACTTCATTGATAAACGTGAAATAAAGTCAAACAGATAATATACTGCTTGTACGTCACATTTGGCTCGCTGGTAATACAGTCTGTGCTGCTTTTAATTAAACATCAGTTTCTCTGAAAAACGAGCTCACCTTGTCAACGTCTTGGAATGGTTGCTGAACACGGGATTGGAAAAAAAACAATAAAACAAGTTAGTGTGTTGGACAAGACAGAGTGTTATATATTAAAACATATTCTGTTTGCAATGGATTTTAACTGGAATTTTGTAATAGGTGCAAAAAACAGTAAAAGAACTAAATTGACATTGATGATGAGGAGAAAAGTAAATCAGACTACCTCCTGTCATTGATTTCATATGTATAAGTTTAAAAATATCCCCCTCCAGCTGCACTTCATGGAAACAGTTAATGACCCAGGAGGAGTCAGCAATGCAGACTGCTCAGTGATGACTGCTGTCATTGAGCTGATTCGGGTCGGTGTCAGGTGTCCTCGCAATCATCGCACATTCTCTGACCAATCTTTTCACCGCAGTCTTCTTTTTCGTTTTTACACCCCACCGTATCACCATCACATTCAGCAGTGAGGCGAGTCATCAGTCATACTCAGACCAATTAACCCTCATTGGTAATTGCCTACTGAACTCTTGACATTCCCAAGGAGTGCTGCCAAAATACCAAGCACTGGGAATCTGGAGACGCAGACATTTTAACTCCAGGATTTGCCACAGAGCTGGCTGAAGGTCAGACGTCTGGGACATATTATTCCTGTCCTGTTCTTTAAAAAGAAGCTGGGGAGAAGGGAGCTAAGAAATTCCCACACTGCAAGTCAGTGTGATTGTATCTTAATGTATGGCATTGATGTTGCAGATGCAAAATGCTGCTAAGGCTTAGCAAGTGGGATTTACACGGCATCAACCCAGACTTCACTTTACCCAAAACAGGGTTCAGAAAGATGAACCACTAAACCAGCAAAACAAGCCAGCTGTGACCTGTGTCTGCTCACCTCTGCGGTTTCCTCCTGACGGCGCCTTTGGAGCCGTTCCACATCGTCGATCTCATACACCTTGATCTCAAAGGGTTCCTTCAGTGGTCCAGACATAGGAGGCAAGTCCACCCACTGACCTGCTGTGCTCACCTTCTTCCCCAGAGATGCTGTGTCTGGCAGGGGTGCTGGGATTAGCCGTCTTCTTTGGAAGCCTAAAGCACCAGGCAGACAGGCACCAATTAGATTGCTAACATACAACAGCAGCATTTGCTAGGATCTATAGAAAAATATATATAAATCCCACTCTGAGATATAAAGTGATGCAAGGCTTTACAGTGGTTGGTTGAGCTGTGGCGACTGCATACTTATAAGAGTTTCATGAGATATGTGGATTCAAAAGGTTGGTTTATCCTACATGAATTGAAACAGTTATACACGAGACAATGGCCTACATAAAAATCCCCATGTTCAACTCTTATTTGATCAATACACAGATCAAAGATGCCTTGTCTGAAACATTCATTAATGTTTTTCACATTTACTCTACGTATGAATTATGCATGCTGCTGATTCAGAAGGAAACAAAATCCGATGAAATGCCCATTTGTGGTTGTAATAACAATGGATCCACAAATTTATGGTTGATTTCCTCTGAGACAGCACATATTTATTACTCGGGTGTGTGCCACGAAATGTATATCACAATATTTGTGAATATTACCCATTCCTAGATTACTTGCAAAACCCCGAAATCCCAAATTAGTTTCTCACCGTTTGCTCTCTTCTTGGGATACTTGGAGCTCTTTGCTCTCCCTGAAGATGAGAAGCCGCTCTCGCTCATAGAGTCGTGGGCAGAGGAAGCGCTGCCTGTGGCTTCACTGTCACGGATCATGCTTTCATATCCGCTGCTGCCACCGCTGTGGTAGAACAGAGCTGTGCGTCCCATCGCCGGAGGTAGCTCCCCGCTCAACACGCTGCTGTTGTCACTGCCGTGGCCACTGCTGTAGCGCTGAGGCCGCCTGGGTGCTGTGATTTTACTGTATGGAGAAGGCAGCATGGCTACTGGGGATTTGTCATCACTCACATTCACCCCGCTGTCATTCCCACTGTCTGAGTCTGCTGAAGCTTTCACGTGTTTTCCTGATATGTTGCCTGTTGCCAGTTCACTCACACGGCTATTTGCAGCTCTAATGGCCTGCTTTGTGCCCATGATAGTGCCTCTTCCAGGCTTGCTGGTGACTGCAGCGGTGGTCCGAGGAGCCGATGTCCGTCCAGAAGGAGGGAGGTTGGCATTAGTGTTTCTGGTAGATGGGGCAGCCAAAGACTTTGTGGAGGAGCTTAAGCCCTTGGAGCTGTTGGCTGATAGTGAACGTGCCTTAGAACCATTAACAGCTCCCAATGACCTAGGATTTACAGAAGCTTTTACCTGTCCAGGTTTGCTGACATTTCCTCCACTTGGGGAGGATGGACAGGAAGCAATAGGAGCGCTGGATGAATTGGGAATACCGAATCGAGAAATGGACTTGCTTGATTTGCTACTACTGCTGCCAAGACTTGCCCCACTGTTCTCTCTACTAAGCGCAGCTCTGGAACCTGATAAGGACAGACTTTCACACCTTTCCAGTGATATCTGACTGCCATAGTGCTGCCCAGCCTCTCCTCTAGGCCCTTTGGCCTTCAAACTGGAGGTAACTTTGGCCGTGTTGAGGCTGGAGGTTTTGAAACTGTCTACTCTGTGGCATACCTCAAGCTCATCTTCTGATACAGCCGCCCTCGCTCCATAGGTCCTTCCTGCCTCCCCATATGCTGTCTTTAAGGCACTTTGGGGCAGCAGTGTCTTCGTTTTATGGTCAAGACTGGATTTTCTCACTGGAGGAGGAGGAGGCATGGTGCAGTCGGGTTTAGCGGAATTGCTCGCTTTCTGTGAGTTGGCCTTGTTTTTCCCCAGAGAGGAAAATTTAAGGCTTGTGGCAGATGCAACAATATCTTGGCTTCCCTTGTAGTCCGTGGTGGAATGAATGACGGGCACTGTTCCCAGGGTGGTGGCACCTCGTCTCAGCTGAGGCATTTTGCTGGGTGGATTCCTGATGGCTGATTTCTCACAGCCATCAACCACCCTTTGGGCTGAGGTAGACCCCTGCACATTGGGAGAGCGAGGTACACTGTTGGTGTTGCTGGACGTTTTGCTGGAAGGGATGCCACTGGGGGGATTTCTGAGAAATTTGCTGGTATTGCTGGAGTCAGAAAATTGAGGTTCAGAGTGGTTGTCAATGCACTTCCAAGGATCTTCCTGTTTAACCTCTTGCCTTAGTGGCTCTCTACTGCTGCTGCTGCTACTGCTGCTGCTATGAGAGATAGATGAGGTAGGTTTAATCTTCCTGGGAAGACTGGAGTGGACTATAGTTGGGCCCTGTGGGGAGGAGCTAAGCGAGTGAGCTTTAGTTATTTTAGATGTAAATTTTAGGGAGCCTTTTGCTGATTCTGGTGATGGGGGGCACTTTGTCAGTGACAGCTTGCTTGAGGCGGCGCTATCACTGTCTAGTTCAGAAAAACTAAATCCGCTGTCATTTAGGGAGTTCTTGGCATTTCTAGGCGAGGAGACACAATTAAACATATCCAGGGAGTCAAAGTAAACGGTGGCCTCTGGGCCCATGTGTTTGGCCTGTGGAAGGAAGACGTCTGTGGAATGAGCCCCTTCGCTTTCCAAGGTGCAGACACTAACCTCACTCAGCCAAGAACTGATAGATGAACCTCTGCTGTCTATACACGCCATTCCTCCCTCCTGAGGGGCAGTGACCACTGAAATGTTCACCTCTGACCCTCCAGCGGCTGATGTGTAGGCATCGAATTCATCATTGATGCTACTGATGATGCTGACAGGTCGAGAACCAGAGGCCAGGGCCTGAAGAGAGCAGTCACTGTTAAAGCTAATAATGCTCGATGGCCGGCCTTGATCTACTATACTGCCTATAGATAGCTCCTCCACCACAGTGAACACCAGCTCATCCTCTCCGTTCAGCTCCACAGGCTGCTGCAGGGTGACGGTCGCTCTAAGGATGTCCCGGTCCAGACATCTTTCCCTCAACGTCGAGCGTACCTGGCACACCTCCACCGGAGCTCTAAGTAAAGGCGAAGTGCACGGATCCCTTCTTTTCGCAGCTTGGTGGCTCATTCCAACAGGTGGCATTCTGGTGCTTGATCTTTCCTCATTGTCAGTATTTTCTCTCTGCTGCGAAGGAGGCGGGGCTGGCTTTGGCAAGGATTTCTTGCTGGAGTAAATCTTCTCTCTCACCACAGGTTCAGTAGGTGGGGCAGCGGCAGGTGCCAGTTTGTTTGCACTAACCTTGTTTTCTGAAACCAAGGCCTTCTCACCATCAGCCCTGGTCCTGCAAACATTTTGAACACTCTCTGATGGTACCCTTTCCACAGGCATGCATTGCCTCTTGGCACTGTCAACTTTAGATTTGGCACTGGGACTGCAAGATGGCTGCGGGGGGACCGATTTAGGAGATTGTTTGGGTGAGATACCCTCTTGGTTGTAAGAAATATTTGCTACAGTCTTTGGTGAAACAGAGCTTTGGCTCTCTTTAGATTTGTCCATCTTGGGGCTAGCCTGGGATCGTTTTCCCTCTCCAACAAAAGCAGTAGGTTCTTCACTGCCGTCTATGCACTCAAGCCTCTCTTGCAGTTCAGCAAATGTGTTGCATTTAAAGAAATGGTCTCTGTCCAGAGGGCCCTCTTTTGCAGACTTCTTCTTGTTCAGAGAAGGGATAATTGGAACAAAGGCAGGTGGGCCTTCATTGTCACTAAGCTCCCTGTCTGAGATTGCAGTTCCCCCAGGGCCCACATAAATAACAGTATCACAAGACTGCTCACTACTAGAGGAGTATTCTGGGTCACTGAGCAAACAGGGCAGGTCTGGGTCCAGGGCTACTGTCCGAGGGTGAAAAGGCCTGAGGTGGGGGGGCCTCCGGATCCTCCCTTCCTCACACGAGCTTTCACCTCCAGATGAACTAGACGCATACTGCAAAACCAAGTTAGAACAGAGTAGAGATCTGTAAATGATCTCACAAAATGATAAAAGGAAAATTAACATAACAGACTTTGCAATTTACAAAATCACTTTAATTCTTATAATTTAGAGCAGATTCATATCTTACTAGTTTGCAGCAAAATCCATTTCAGAGCATATTTTAATTCCTATAATATTACCGGTCAATATTTATCTAGAGGTTAAAAGTGCACATCAATAGCCCCACAGAAACTAATGTCAATAATGCAAATTGTTGTCTGCGGCCTGCATCATAATCATAATGGGGACTAAATAAATACATGCTGTCATTTCACCTAATTATCTGGAGCATATATTTCCCTAATCTAAGGGAATACATCACACACTTCCTTAGGCGGTGGTATTGATTACATGATTATGTGCTGAGGAGCTGAGAGAAACTAACTCTGACTTACTGCACTAATAATATTTCATTTGTGGGAGCATTAACACATTCATTTGGGTAATAGCTCCAAAATTACACGAGGAAGACAAATTTAAGGACTTTAATAATGCTGTGATTTATGATGAAGGTAATTAAAGTTACGCATGCACATTAGGAATGTAATTGCTACAATAGCAACACTTAATGATGAAATAATGTTTAATAATAACGATTACTCTTCATTTATCATTTATAAACAAAGAGCAACATTAAATGGAGCTTTATTAAGATTTATAAGGATTATAATAAGTTCTTAAATTATACAAATGCATCGTTAGTGGTGTCACTGGAATTTCATATTGCTTGTTCATCGGTTTATCAGTGTGTTACTGCACATGTTTACACGCCGTACCTTAGATTTCTTCTTTCTCATTCGGTGGATCCGGGATGCCAGCTGGATAGTGGTGAGCGAGTCAGCATAGTTGGCTGGGGAATCTGAGATGTGGGCAATCATAGTTGTTCTGCAGTTGATGTTGCCAAGGGACTCCCTCAGCAGCATTGTCAGTTTGCTGTCTCTACAGGGAGCATTTACATTGTTATTAGCAAACAGCCCAGTAATATTTTACTGGGGCAGGCACGTTAAATCCTCCGAGCTGAAAAACACTCCCAAATGACAAGTCATTAATCTTTTCATACTTGAGTAACTACAATATAATCTTGTGCAACCCCAGTGAAAGCTGTTGTGCAGCTAACTAAACAAACTGAACAGTCGCACAGAAAAACCTGCAAGGTTGACAACACATGCGGTGACTTGCCTGAAACAATTAACATATAGATACAGTTTCTTGGAAGCTAAAACGCAGCCGACTCTAAAACCTCATGTTGGTGTTCTCACCTGTAGGGTACATGCTTCGCTCCATTTGTTAAAGCCATTATGACGTTTCCCAGTGCATTCAGGGAAAGACACAAGCCTCCTCCTCCATCTCTGCTTTTACTCAGGACCTTTTCGCAGCTCCCCAAGTCAATAAGGTGCAGCCTGCTTCGTCCACCCGACACTGCCAACGGCAGAAGAAGAACCAGGTGAGCAAAACAGACACTCCCTATGTGGAGTAAGTTGCCTGTACAAAGTGCCCTGATGACAGGAGTGGCATAGCTGTGTTTGAGCTGTCTGGATTATTTATGAGTAAGACTGCAGCCAGACTGCTAAACCTCCACCAGATGTGTAACTCATGGCAACAAGGAGTCTCCTTTGGTGAGACACGTAAAACGAGAGAATCTACTGACAATTAGAAACACAGTCCCCCATCGAATAATTTAAAAATGCAGACAGGGCGAATGCCAGCGTCTGTCCTTGTAAATCACAGAGCTACACATTATCCTGTTGGTGATTGATGTTGTTCATAAACCAGCAGGCTTTACTTACTCTAAACCACAATGTATTACAAGCATGCAAATACATTTCTGGTTTGCAGAGACCAGAATGAATTCATCAAACGCAAAAAAGAGCCTGCGATTTTCCATTAAAAGCTAAAGTGCGATCAAATCCACTTAGCCATCTAAAGAGCTTACGTTTAAAAAAAACAAAAAAACAACAACAATTAGTGATAACTAAATGGAGGCGCCTGTTAATCTAGATTAGCTTGTATTTTAGTACTTTTTAGAGCAAGTGTGGACTTCATTCACTAATCTGGCTGCTTGCGCATGGTTCACTCTATAATTTTCTACTATAAATTTGAAGGGACAACTTTCTGGTCCTATGCTGCAGGGCAGTAGTAATGCAATAATACTAACTTCCCCCTTTTCCAGTCTTCTCCATGCGGTACTGGTAAATGTGCAGTGTGAACAGCATGTGGGAGTTCCGTCGCTCGTCCTCATCAACATTCGGTCTGCTGGTGCTCCGGGCAGCGATGGCTGCATCCAAGAAGAAGGCGGCTTTCTCAGCAGTTGGGGCACGAAGCTCACTCTGGTTTTGAAGCTGAAGGGCGAAAAGGAAAACCAGAGAATAAGGTCAGGGTATCCGAAAAAGGACTGATGTTTAAAAGAAAGAGAGACAGAGAGAAACGAGAAAGAGAAGGTAACCAGTTAATTGGACTCTGCCACACATTTCTTGCCCATTAGATTGGGTCTCAGGGGCTATTAAAACAGCAGATATGCACACAGTGGGAGGAGGATTAGGAGAGGTAATAGTGGAGCAGGAGGCAGGGGCTCTTCACCTCAACATGATGTGATGATGGCAGTGGTGGGATACAGAAGGAAAGGAAGGAGGAGGCAGAAGAGAGAAGGCACACATAGCTGCTGAAGGAAAGCGCAAGAGGGAGATTCATAGTACTGCACACCCTTTGAAGTTAGAGTCCATGCATATCCCCCAAAAACAACATCTGACAGCAACACCTGTGAGAGCCTTCAAACATACAGTCACAACCCCCCTCTGCTATTCCCACTCCCACCACACACACACACACACACACACCCAGTAATACTTCTATGGCATTATAGAGGGCTGACACTAATACATCAGTAATAGATGCTGACGGATGCTGACAGAAGAGTCAATACAAAGGTAAGAAGAAAGCCATCAATACCACAGAAGGGTTGGGTAGAAAATATAAAGCAAGGGTTTTAAGAGCAGGTAGGGTAGGAAGTCACGGGAGATAAAAACACACACACATATATATACACACATTGCACTCGAAGAACTTTAAACATCTTTGAGGGGAAAAAAAGAGCTAGAGCCTAGACAGTAAAAGATCAATACTCAGTCAGACTAATATTTTATAACCCACAGAGAGAATGAAAGGATCAGTGAACAAAGAAAAAGTGGAGAGATGGAACACTTCTCACCTGAGTGCCACAGATGGGATCCTCTCTCAGGTGGATTCCCGGGGATTGGCCTTCCTGCAGGCTGCCGGACGACACCTCAGACAGCAAGTCCTTTAGCTCCTCATCTTTTCCAAAGATTTCCACTGCAGACACGCGGACTGAGAAGCGCGTGCCCGTCTTCTCCTTGCGCTCGTTGATGAGCTTGAAGAGCCAAGAAATGGCACAGGGCACAATGCCTAGGCTTTGAGTGGAGCTGTCTTTGCCAATCATGGTGTATGTCTTGCCTGAGGATGTAAGAAAGGAGGGGGGGGGGATAAAAATATTGCCTTGTGTGTGGAAGCCGGCTGCACTCACTATATGTTCAAAATAAAATTGCTTCTTTTATCAACCTGTCTGAAATAGGCCTGAAGTTCACAAAGAAATAGGCACTGGCATTGGATATTTTCTGAAGGGTTATTCTGCTAAACAAATGGTGCTGAAAAAAAATTAATAATGGCAGATGTGAAGGATTTGAGGTAATATTTGGAAAGGCAAAAATAAAATAATAATAACTTTTTTCTTTTAAATCAAATGCTAATCCAAGGACCTGTTCCAGACACAGCCATTCTGCACAGAATTACAGAAACTGGAAACAGCTGCATGAGAAAAGCAGGCCCTTCAGCCTAAGAACACTGGCCAGGCCAATTACTAAGATTTTAATTACAGACTGAGCCCTGAAGCCTGAATGCAGCACTTTACCCCTCACCCCCACACCAGACTCACTATCCATTCCTTTTCCTTCAATCACCCATTCCTTGACTCACCCCAGTGCACCGCTAAGCCAATTGTGGACATCAAGTGTAGCTAACAAAGAGCAATGAGAGTTTTCTTTGGCTAACAAAGGCACTTCTCTAATCTGTTGCCAGTGGAGAAGCTTACCGAGCTTTACTTGGCCAAAGCAGAAGATGCAGCCGTCTGCACCATTCACCACAGATTGGATGACCTCAGCTACTGTCCCTGAGCACACCTCAGCCTGTGGAAAAACACAAAGAGACAGGCCCTTCACAGTCAGTTTGCAATTCGAGGAACGCTGTAAAACAGGCACAGTGAGCATTTGGCATTGCTTACACCAATTCATGTTATTAGTTTCAGTATTTTTCATCACTCAAGTGCGTGTGTGTTTGTTTGTTAACGTCTGTTTCCGTGTCTTGCATGTCGAGGCAATCTGTTTCAGCAGAGGTCCTCTGGGGCAAGGCTTCAGCAGCAAAGGCCCCTTCCCATACATCACACAGCAAACAAGACCTCTAACAGCAGAACAGCTTGTTGTTACTGTTAGCCACCAGCAGTGCTGCCCCAGCAGCACAATCTAGCAGCTTGGCCTCAACTATGTAGCAGAAACATTTAGTCTTTAGCCATCAGCAGCTTACTTAATTTTAAAAAATTGCTCAAAGTAGGCAAAAAAAATCTGAGGTTTTTCTGGATATCCTACACAGGTGATGACATCCTACACTCTGCTGTCATAGTTATTTAGAGTTCGCTGCACCATGGCGACACGCAAACAATACTTCAGATTACCGTACCTTAGATTTTCTGTTAATTTTGTCTTTGAGCAAAAACAGATTGAGTCATTCTCTTAAAAGATTTTGGTGTTTGTCTTAATATGAGAAGAGAGCAAATCTGATCCGCTCCTAACTCACATGTACTAAACATACTGTATATCTGACCTTTGACTTTGATCTCAGCACTTATGCCTGCTGTGTCTTCCAAATGGCTGAGGTTAGATATAGCTGTCCTATGAAAGGAGTGGTTAGATATAAGTGGAGTGGATTCAAATCATTCCGTAGAGGGCTTAAAAGCCCAGCTGTTAGGCCCATGTTGCTAAGAATGCCCCTTGACCCAAGAAAGGCATTTTTTTCTCTAAGCCTCTGGTCACACCCTGCAAGTATAAAGACGTCCCTTTGCCCTTGAGAGGCTGAATTCCCTGATAACAAATAGAAAAATAGCTCTCTTGCTCTAATACACACACACATACACAAAGACTGGCCCTTACTTGTGAAGCATCCTGGGTAAAAACAGCATCAAAGGCAAATATCTTTGGGACGGCCACAGTGGCGGATCTCCTGTGCCCTGAACTAGAGTGTGGGCTGGACGCAGGATCGTAGAGGGTCAGCTGCTTCTTCCTACTGTCTACTTTCAAGAAAGACTGAGACTCTGAGGAGTCTGCAGCCTCCAGAGACGGACAGATACGCATCATCACTTTCACCTAAAGCAACATCAAATAAGCAAAAAGAGAGAACAGCGGTGTGTTAGAAATTGAGATGGCACAAAAACACGACAAAAAGACAGACATTTTGATTATAGTGCACTAAGCGAAGAGACGGGAAAAACATATGGCAGGCATTCAGTATAAAAGTTGCAAACTGAAGGTCCTTCAGCGTTTGTGCATTAAGATCACGTTCACTTTGTCAGAGCTGATGGACACTGAAAGTTACCATGGAAACTCTCCCTGGGTCAACACATTGGCTAATGGTGTTAGTAAAAGGCAGCAAGGTGAGTATTGAAAGTCACAGCTGAAAATGTTAGAAATTGGTGTGTGTGCAGCTCCCTGCTGGGGGATTATCCCACTAGAGATTGTTTTTTCTGGACCAGGAACAGCTCACCAGCGTGGGAGTGCAGGAGCATATGCCCTCCCTGCCTGTTGTTCCACCTCCTAACTCTCCTTTTTCTCTCCTTTCCCTCTATTGCCTGCAAAACGACTGGCCGTCAAGTGACCCACCCTGCTATATTCTGAGACATATTGTATTTATAAAATGAGCGTAGGTTCTTAACACCTTCCCCGGGTCAACATATAGATCTTGATGCCAACATGGTACGCTAAACATGATCGCATCTTGCATCTAAAGATGTTGATTCACTAACATGCCCATTCATGCCTTGTGGTAGGACCTCTTTTACAGACAACCTATGTCTCTAATGCATAGATGCACAGTTTGTGGTTTGTGTGGGTGTGCTTATGTGTGTCAGGCTATATGACACCTCTTTAGAAATTCTGACATCTCTATATTCCTTTACAATCTGATGGTCAGATAGCGCCACTTCTATTTCTCCAAAGGCTCTCTGGAAATATATCTGTGACTGACAGGGAACAGAAATGGCTCTTTGGATATGTTTAGCAGTCTTTAGAGTCCCTCTCAACTCCCAGAGTATTTAGTGCTGCGCCTAACATTACATCAGCTGAATTGCTTCTGTCCTACAGTATACATGACAGGGAACTCAATCCAGAGTCATTTTAAAGCTTGTTAAAAAAGTACCTAAGGTGCCTCTCAGGCACTGAAATAAAACCCTTAAAATACAACCAACTCTCTTCCCTTTTTGACATAGGGCTGCTTTGCTCAGCTCAGGACTCTCCACCATCTTCACGCCTACACAAAAGGACCATTCTTCCCTGACTCGTATATTAATATTGCTACAGATATAGACTTCAGCACTCACAAACAATGTGGCTGGAAAACCCTTTCTTTCAGTGAGTGAATTCATCTTGGATACCACAGGCCAAGTGCAAGCACTCTTTATACTCCACAGGGGACTCTTGTTGTGACTGACAAGTGCATATGTTGAGTGAATTACATTTGCTATGTCATTTAAACAAGGCTTCCATATATGACAACCACATGTCTGTCCACCAGACAGAGGCTACCAAGTGAGCTAATGTCCCTGTTTTATTTACGTTGGCAGAGATCAGATAGTGGAGGCCACAGAGGATTGGCTGTAGTATTTTCACACCTCGGACTCCGTGCTAATGGCCCCTGGTTCCCTGTCCCTTGATCCCCCACAAAATCCATTAGTGAAGCTTGGCATGACTCCGTCCACTCAGCTCCTTACACCTGAACGAACTGTGTCTAGGTCAAAAGTGGAGAAGTGGAAGTGACCCACCTACACCTGATTGGAAACATTGATTGAATTCGAATGAAACAGATCCGGAGAAGCCGTGAAAGCGACTGAAAATGTTATTTCACGTGCGATTCCACAGGTGAAAGAGAGGCAGACAAACCAGGAAAGCACACGGATCTGTTTACTTTACTATAAGAAAACCTGAAAATCTGTGCAAGCAGACTTGGAACAATATCATAAAATGTCATAAATCCTGATCTCCCGTTGAAAACCAGCTGCTTAAACGGCACAGATGGATCATATACATCAGGTGTGAGCTTGAGTAGGCTTGTTAATAGCACAGGTTTTTTATGAAGTCCCCGTGTCAATGGGAGATTTACAATATGTGGCAAAATTTCAACCGTCTGGATACCTGGCAACAGAAGCGAGCACTTCCTGTCCAGGTGGGATCTAATCTTGTTAGGGGACTTCTTCTGCTTTATAAATACAGGACGCCAGCTCAGACAAACAATACCCAATAAACCACAAAGGAAGAGAGATGTGTTTATACAGCTTTGTTTAATGACTGCTCTATCGCTGGCAGCCTGACTTTCAACACTGCACACTGCACCTAAAATGGAATTAGGAGTCTTGATGCTAACGTGACCACAGATTGGTGAATTATAGTTTTTACTGTCTTTTCTGTGTTCACAGAGAGGAATGCTGGTCACACAAACTGAGTGAATTCATGACATTCCAGCAGGCTTATCTGGCTGCATCTGCATGGACTGGACCAGACAGCACGCTGCCTGCAGACCAGTCTGTCGCCACTCTGCATTCAACCCTCCAAATAGGGGTTTGTGTGTATCCATAAATGTTGGCGCACGCAGTTCTGCAGGGCAAGGCAGGAAGGGAATGGTGGCTTATGAGAGCACGTGTTGTATAGCTGTTGTGCATTAAAAGCATTCTGTCTCTGGTGCCTCTGTGTGTGTCTTTTCTCACCTTTCCCATCCCTGGATTTTCCTTCACTTTGGAAACAGCACGGAGCAGACATGGTGGGGCAGGGGGTGGCGAGACCTGCAGGATACCGCTGAAGTTGGTCGGGTAGATGGAGGGTTCTTGCGGGTTAAGCAGGGAAGGCAGGTTTTTCTTCCGCTTGGAGGAAAGATTCAGCTTCTGAGCTGCCCTGGAGGTGGGAAGGGGAAAAAAAGCCTTGAAAGTAAAGCTATACTTAGAAAACTACCAAGCTGTAAAGTTAAGCAAATCCTTTTTCTTTCTCTCTCAGGTAATGTTTTCTTGAGGAGGTACCCTACCAAGAGGTTATTGATTTTAAATGTCTACCTTGACAAAAACCACACGCTAACACTTCAACATAAAGGTCAACAATCTGCTCTTAGTCTGCCAAAGTAAACAAAGTCAGGAGGTGAGTTACACTATGCCACCACTCCCAACCCTTCTCCACTCTAAAAATGCTTTCCCCTCAACTCCCAACTCATACGCCCATAACAAGAAGGATAATGTTTCAGCTCTCGACTTAAACTAAAAGTGGAATTCTCTTACACCTTTATGTTTTTATACAGAACAGCTCTCTAAGACAAATGGTCACCAGGTTCTCTGCTCAAAGGGACCAGACGCAGACTGTAAAGCCACAGGAAATACATGCACGTATTTTGATCAAACACAGCAAAAAAACTGTTGTGGATGTGACAGCTGAGGACTGTTGAAACACTTCCCTCTACCGCATACTTGTGTCCTTCTCTGCTAATCATTGCAGCTAAGCAATGATGACAGCATCATTTGGGTGGCTGTGACTCAGAAGATAGAGCAGATGATCTACTAATAAGAAGTTGTGGTTCAATTGCTGGCTGCATCCCAAAGTATCCTTGGGCAAGATACTGAGCACTGAGGTTCTCCTGATGTGTAATTGTTAGCTAGAAAAGCATTAGAAAAGACCCATATTGTTTTAGTATTTAGTATTATTACCTTATTGTTAGGGTTGTTTTTGTTGTGCATCTGCACTTTATTGTTGTCAATGTCTGCGCATTGGACAGTGTGAAACGTAATTTCAATTCCTTTGTATGGCAAGTACATTTGAAGAAATTGACAAATAAAGTTTTCTATTCTATTCTATTCTATTGAGACAAACCTACAACATGTATGTATTTTGGAAGTTGTAAACAACCTCGATAATCAGATGTTAGTTTAGTGATATCTAGATAGTCACATGACAGTTCTGCTGATACCAAACAGAACCCAGTTCTGTAAGTGAATTGACCTTTTTCACAGTTTAAATTCCGCTGTCATTCTGGTCTCTTTTCAAAGTCGAAAAGATCTCCATAGAACAATCAGAAGGAGTCATTCTTTTTTGTGCAAACCTCTTCAACTTTATAGGCAACACCAATATCTCTGCCTGGCCTGCAGGGACCCCGGTCCAGGTGGTTCGAGTTTTTGCTTTGCCCTAGATCAGTTAACACACACCTCAGGCAGTAATTCAAGGTCACTAAGGAAAGTAATACCCAAAGGTAATTCAAATGCACTCAAATGGGTTTCATTTAAGCAGTCAGATTTCAGAGAAGTACGGGGAAGACAAAGGGGCGGTTGTCAACATGAAGGGAAGTGTGGCACGGAGAATTAAGACCTGAAGTTGAGAATAGAATGTGAAAAATCTGCAGAGCAAGGTTTTTGAGGAGAGGTAGAATACATAGAGAACATGAAAAGGAGAAAAGAGGAAATCTGGAGTACAAAAAGGAACAGATCCATGTCCTGGTGAGTAGCATTTTTCTAAAAGGCCAGCCTGAGCTCATTAGCTGTGTTCTGGGCTCCTCTGGACAGGACTAGGTGGGCTGCTGCCAAAAACAGAACCCACCTCTCGTCCCTATCTCCTTGTATCCTGGAGTGACAACCCACCCCGCTTCCTCTTCTCCACCCCCTCCCCTCTCCACTGTACACCCCCTGCAGTGACAGCCCAAGAGCACAATCAGCGAACACACTGCTTGCTGATGGAATAATTATTGCATCCAAGAAGACTACAGGAGAAGCCGCTCCCCGGGGAGCTGCCTATGTGTGATAGCATGCGAGACGGATCGTGTGACACGGAGTGAGATGGAATAGATGAATGCGAGATGGAGAGAAAGAAAGGGGAAACTATAGCAGAGTACACGTGGCGGCGCGAGTCTGCGAGTGTGTACGCGCATTTATGAGAGGCATCCGCAGCACATTCATTCAAGATAAATCTACCCTGTCCCTCTGTCTCTCTCTGCCTCTCTCCCTCTCTCACCCCTCACCTCATTCTCTCTTCTCTTTGAGTTTAGACAGAAATCAAGCAGCACCCACAGAGTAGCATAGAAAAAAAGCCACTCCACTTCATTTATAATTGTTTTGACCAGCGAGTAGCGTTCACAGCCCAAAGCTGCGATTGTAACCTTGAGCTTTAATTCATGCAACACAATGACAATCAGTGCACATGTTCATGAATGGAAGGTGAGGGATGATTATGCTAGGGCTTTGTTTTTTTCAACACAGTCACACGTACACAGGTAAACTGCTTGTCTCTCCCCACCTCTCCCTCCCACGTCCTCTCATTTCTCTCTCCTCTCCTTACACAACTATATGATCAGTCATTGGAAAAAAAGAGAGAGAGGCAGTGAAGAGAGGCTCAGATTTCTTTGCCCACAACAGCTTGTCCACCTGTTCACTCAATCTCAATGCTAATGAAGCTGTTTTCCTTCACAACTTTCTCTAAAATGCTCAAAGGAGACTCTATATGTATGAGGAAGCGAAGCCCGAAAACACTTGAACGTACACTCATGCTTTATGAATTCTGTTGAATGTTAGAAAAGTGAGCCAAAGCTTCCCCCCCCCCCGACATGCACACATTGTGAGATACTTACAGCTCTTTCCAATCCATTATCTAGTTTATGCTCATAGTCAAAAAACAGGCAACTGATAGAGTTCGACTTTGCTGTCCTTGTCCGTGTTGTCACTTTTCTCCATTATTTGCACATTTGCTACGCCGGCACACTCAGCAATTACACAGCGAGGTGGGGTTGCTTGCTACTCAAGGCACAGAGGTCCTTTTCGCTACGATCATCAACGTTCCACTTAATTTCACAGAGGCTTGTGAGAAGCTCGGGGGGCAGAGGGAGAGCGACGAGTGGGAGGCGTGGGCGTCATAGTAACTGAATGGAACAAGCGGCAGGTGGGGCTGGGTGGAGGTGGGCAGACAGGATGAGTGCCCTTCAGGAAAACCAGTAGGTGCGCAGTGAAGGTGTAATCCAGAGAGTTTCTTAAGAGAAGGTGAGGACGAGGTTAGGATGAGGATGTGCACCTCCTGTGTTCATGCACTACGAAAGCATCTCTAACTCCTTGCGTGTCTCCTTCACCTGCAAAAGTTCAGACGCAGTTCAGAAACCGCAGAAACTTGGCTTGTCCTCCGACTCAGTTTTACTTTTTCTTCGCATCCAATTCTTCAGTCATCCCATAGGCTGCTTTTTTCCCCTCATCCAGTTAATCCACCGTACTTGTCTGCTGTGAGTGGTTACAGATCCTTATGCCTCGGTCCTTCCCAGACGCTCTACTGCTTACAGGCAGAAGGCAGGGAAAATAATCAGCGCTCCTGGCTGGGCTGCAAGATTTCCTTGAGTAGCTGAGAATGAGAAGAATTCCTGCTCCTGTTCCACCTCTTAGTCCTTCTCCTGCAATCGGAGAAATTCTGGCAGCTGTCCTGCCGTGTCTCTCTCTATTTCTCTTTCCCTGGCTCTCTCTCTCACACACACACATCCACGCACACACACATACTCCCTCTCTCTCCCTGCCTCCCACCTCTCCCTCTCTCTCTCCCTTTCTTTCCTCAGCCCAGCCCCTTTTCCCTCCGACTGCCAGACGAGGTGTCAGCGCTCGATTGCTGGCTGCTTGCGGCGCAATTTGCGAGTGCTCTCTTTCTCTCTCTCTCTTTCTCTACCCACACGCACACACACACTCACTGTCTCATTCAGCCTTCTGCACAAACACACATGCATGCACCCCACCACACGTCACATGAATAGTTAATGCATGCAGGAGCCCTCTCTTCTTTTAGGGTCCCACACTTCAAACAGATTTGGTTAGTATGCCTACAGTGTATGCATCCATGAGCCCGAGAGTACATGTGTGTTCCTGTGTTTTTGGGGTGGCATGTGTACACTACATATTTGTATTATTTTATTTATTTTTTTGTCGTTGCTAACAGATGTAATTAGCCGGAAGAATGAGAGCGGTATTAATCATAAGGAGCAAGACAGGATAAGGAAGGATGTACTTAAGAGGAGAAAAATGGATTTCTTCAATGAATGATGCTCTGACTAAACTGGAAAGCTGAGGGAGATTAAAAAAAAAAAAAACAAAAAAAGAGGACAGACAATGAACAAATGACTTCTTAGAAAGGCAGATTTATGCTGGCCACTAAGAGAGAATGCAGTCAGTCAATGGTCAAGGGTAAAAAGGGGAATGAAAGCATGTGAGTGGGTGAGCGCTGGGGTGAGAGTACCCTGTATTCCCTGGGCTGCCAATTTACCAGTAAGCCCTCTCAGCCCCCCCAACCAGCCAGTCTTGTTTGAAAGGCTGCTACTTTGGCTGCAGAGTGCCTACTACAACATATCGGCAAACAGAGTGGGTGTGAGACTTGCCAGATGAAAGTACATGCAGCACAAAGCTCTATCGGCTCCTCTCCTTCTGACACAGTGCCCCTTATATGAACTCTGCTGGATTAAATTTGAAGGCAAACAATAAAACCAACACCACCTACATTTTTCGTACAGTAATAAAGCTGTTTGATATATCACATAACCTTTTCCTTCTTCCCTTTCTGCCCTTCCATAGCATGGTTACCTTTGCTTTTCTGCAGTGTTTGCTTTTCTGAGGTGGGCTTATTTTAAAGTGCTAGGACTGTCTCCTAACAGAGTTCTACATGCTTCACCACCATCGAATCCCTTTGAGCAATGATTGGCAACAGATGATGAGTAAAAGACAATACTAATGTCGGCATTGGTCACTCTGACAGTGCAACCGGTAATTATTCTCATCCCTACTGCTGCTACCACCAGTGTGCTTTTCACTGTTATACATCAAACTGACATAAAAATAGGGGACAGCCACAGTTGGAACTATCCTGATAGTCTTTCAGCTCCATCACTGTCTTCTTATGAACAGACCTTAGGGACAGATAATCAGAGTAATATATATAAATGAGCTGAAGCAAGACAGATGTAAAATCAAGAACCCTTTAAATGAAAAGGTCTCCCGGTGCCTTTGTTCGAGAAAGGACATGCAGATTTCATCCTTTACCTAAGGAGGGAGTGAGAGCGAGGGAGGAGCAGAGGTGGTCAATGGTGGCACGACAGAGAAAGAATGGTTAGGCTGTATTTTCTGACTAGATTCAAAGCTTCACTGTAGCCTGTCAATAATGTTCCCAGCCTTTTTTCTTTGCTTTGTCAAATTAACAAGAGAAATTCCTCTGACCCAGAGAGACATTAGTTGGTGCGCCCATTAGCTTGTTTGTACAAATTTGTCTCTGTTCTGCACGCCAGCTATACAGCTCTTTAGGTACCTCTTTTCTGTGGTTAATTACCATGTTGGCCGCATTTACTATCCTTGACACTTCCTTTCTGTGAATCTCCTTTTTCCCCCCTCTGCAGACAAGATAAGGCTGCTCTGGCCATTCATGCGCGGATCAGATCACTCAGTCTGATATGAGACTGCTTTACCCGCGCCACCCCACCCACAGCGAGTCTCCCACTGCTGCTGATTAGCAGGCTGGCATAGCTCTTCACGAATGGGAGATGGGAGTACTGGGGCTACAGCCAGCTTCAACACCATGCAGTGATAATGACTACGGCACAATGAGTTCACTCGCTCACTGGTTGCTAGAGAATTTACCCCATACCAGTGACGGCATTTGTGAGACTTTCTCTTTAGTTGAAGCCGTTATAGCCATGTTGCTGTTGTATATACTGAGTATTTTGCCCTCACCATAAATGCCAAATCAGCAGATGGTCATGATTGACTGGGCTGGATGTCTGTTGATCTATATCAGAGCAGGTACTGTGTTTTTGAGTCAAAAGATAATCATTAGGAAACCTCCCCAGAGCTAAAATCAGTACAGGCTGTCTTATTGATGGGCTGCCCTTGACATGATCAAACAGCTCTCTGCCCCAAAGGTGTGGGGGTATAACATAAATCTACTGTCTGTAGGAGAAATACAGACTTAGTTCTGTTAAAGCAAGAGCACCAGACCGAAGTTTTGTGTGCAGGCAGACATCGCTGTGTGGTTTTCTCTTTGCCAAATTTTAGGTAGGATTAAAGCAAATCTGCATCTCTGCACTGGCCTCGCGGTCCCAGGTCACCCACAGCCTGACCCAGCCTTCGTTAAACTTTGGCAGTGATTAAGTGACCATGACATCAGCCTGTGAACACACACACATGCATACACACACATTCATACGGTGTGCAGACGAGAGGAGGTGATGTCATCCTCTGCCAACCAGCGCTGGCAGCGAGAATGCCCACCCAGACAAGATTTACTAACAAGGTCAGGATGCCGATCATTAAATGAGACAAATGCTTCCATGCCATAAAAGCTTCCTGAGAGTTCATCCGTTGTAGCTGTATTTCAGAGGATTAGAAAAGACCCTTTGACTGCCCTGTGAAGCTGTAAGTGTCACCATCTTTCAGATGTGGAGTATAAACATACGCATTAACCTAACACTAAAAGCTCGGGTGGTCACATAAGGTAGGTTCTTAAACTAACCAGAGAAATGGTCAATGGACTTTATTTATATACCTCTAGCCTTGCTGAATACTTAAAGCATTACAAGCATCATTCATACATATAGCACTTGTGCTTTACATAAATATGTAACTAAGGGACCATTTTGGGGAATCAGTATCTTGTGCAAAGACACACCAAAGGACGCGGGCGGAAAAGCCAATAAATGAAGCACAAGCCTCTGTTTAGTGGATAACCTGCTCCACTCCCTGAGTCACAGCTGCCCCACAGAGACATAGTTGGGTTACCTGAGACGCAGCACTGAACATATGGGGAGAACGCTTTAGAGCTGGCTGTTGAATAGATGACAGAGCCTCCTGTGTGGCACAGACGTTTAGTCTGATAATGAGCCCGTTTTCTTTCTAAAGTCTCCCTGCAATTAAAAGACCTCTGATATAAACACTCATTTAGTTTTTCTCACTTCCTCCCTCTTATCCTAAATCACTCAAAACAACTGCCTGAGGCTACAGCAGCATGGACACTGAAATTAATGCCGAATATGGTTTTAAAAAAAAGGAAACGGAACAAAAAAAAAAGCAAATTTAATTTAAAAAACCCGCCAAAAAAAAAGAAAAAAAGCTCCCACCTGGAGCTACGGAAACAGACATTCTCCTCTGTTCAGCATGGTTATCTTATCGTTCAGATTCAGATTCAGATGAGCATCTTTCCAAACCAAGATCTTTCCAGTAGTTTTGAAAAATGTGTTTCCTCACTCCTTTGGCAGCCCCAGGTACATTAAAATGGAAGAGAGAACTATCAGGCTTATCAGGCTGTCAGTTAAATCTTATCAATCCAAAGCTCTGAAGCTTTCAACTGACTGCGAGGCTGCTTTCTCCTGCTTGGCTGTTTTAATAGTATACTGAAGGTAGAGCTCCTCTGTGCTGTATTGGCTTACACAGCAGCAGTTTGCTGGAAGTGGCCAAACACCTCCAGGCTAAGATTTATAGACTTTCTATAAATCCTCAGAAATAGATAAACGAATCCCAGCAAAACCAGACAGCAATGAATGCAATGTCCAGTTAGCTGAGTGATACCCTGCACGGCACACTCCAAACGCATCGGACCGACGCTTTTCAGGAAAGCTCTTTGTTCCAACAAGGTGTTCAACAAGCCTTTTGTTCCTGCTTAGCGTCTGGCCTTGGACACAGAATATCAGATGGATCATTATTTGTGCGCTGACTGCTGACGGCCCAAGGCTGAGCATCTTCACTGCACCAATCTGCAGCCAATTAAGTAAGGCCAAATGCATTCATGTAACATCTGTGGATACAATGCGTCATCACAGAAAAGAAAGGATTCCGCACAAAAACTGATGTCGCCTTTTTGCAATTGACTTGTCGCATTTGTATCATAATGTGGATTCAGGGAGGTTTCCTGTCAGAAGAAGAAAAAGAAGTGCAGCTTTCCCTAAATAAAATCCCAAATTCTTCCCGGAGGTTGTAAACCTGTTTTGTTGCAATCTCCTTAGAACTCTTTTCAACCGGTCTGTGGACTGAGTTGGAAAACAAGGGATTAGGGTATCCTCTGGAGAATTGCTTGAATAACAGGGGATCATTTGGAACACGGGGGAAGAAAAGGATTCTGAGTGGTAAATGGAGGGAAAAGCACTGTAGAGGTGAGGAAGGCGTTAAAAAATGAATTGGGGGGATAGTAAGTAAGAGAAAGCTGCAGAGGAAGCGTAAGGAAGGAAGAAAGAAAGACGGAGAGCGAGGGAGGGAGCAGCAGGCTGTAGAGCCAAGTCCTCTCTTCGATCAGTGGGCCTGGCTCTGTGCCAGTGAAGCGCTGTCCATGAGGAGGTAAATCATTTTCTGCCTGAGAAAGAAACAGGGGAAAAAATGATTGGTGGGGGTATGCCACAGCCATCTTGGAATTACTTTATTCCCAAAGATGGGAATTCCCAGTCGGCCAAAAATAAATGGAACAGTTGGCCCAGAAAGTGAAAAAACTCATCAATATTCAAGAAAACCTGGTTTGGTGATTCAGTACATGAGGGTAAACAACACAAATTTAAGAAGTGGCTTGTATCAGCGCAGACGTAAAAAGAACTTCTTTTTACTCTGATTTTGTTGAGAAAAATCAAAGAAACTATGTAAGGCTGATTTGTCTCCTGTGCTTTTGGATGTCAGATCAAGAAGAACTGGCTCATGCCAGTAGACCCTCACTATCCCACTGCGGTACAGAGAAGGCGCTCTGTGCCATTGCCAATAAGGTTAAAGAGAGGTGGGAATATTTTTGGCAGACAAACACACAGGGTTTTTGTGTTTAACACGCTGAATATTAAGTATTGTGTCTCCAGACACCCTGCACAGTCACACACCCACTAATTCACCTCAACCCCGGAGTGAAAGGCCGCAAAACTCTGTTGCCAAGCTAGGGTCTTAAGGAAGGCTTAAGATGAGCAAAGGAAGGAAAATGGTAGGGTATTGTTGCATTTACTTTCACTTTATTGTTCCTTGTAACATTGAGGATCAAGTCTTGCAAATATGGCCTTAACTAGCTTGAACACTGGGCCATGACGAGGTGAAGAAAGCACAGGCTTTAGCTCTGCAGGACATGTTTGTTAGTCATTTGGATAAATGAGCCAATTAAACTCCTTTGTGGAAATAACTGGAAATTACTGCATTGAAATTCAAAGGTCATCCAACAAAAATCTCTAACAATTGACTCTAAATTGTTTACAAGAGGTTTCCAAAAATGCAGCGTCAGTAAAATGCTCCGCTAATGTGTCAAAACTGGTTCATGCAGCAAAAGTAAAAGTCTTTGGAAGAACATTCACTTTTCAGCTGATGGGTGACAGATGATAATGAAGACATGTTCATCCCTGCTCCGCCGACTGCAGTCTCCCCACCTCTGGCACTGCTGACAAAGATTAACAGCTGCTTTCATCTCTTCCAGAGCATTTTCTCTCTGCTCCTCAGACAGCGCTCCAGGTATTTTGCTATGCTCCTCTCCCAGGCTGCAGAGAATCTGGAATAACTCCACATTTTCACATGTTGAACTGCGATTCACCCGTCATCCCACCCACGTCTTGCCTTCAAAACATCAGGTAGGCTGTTGCACTCAGGGCACACAAACACAACTTTTGGAACACACATGAAGTTATCACTGACTGAGTGACGTTTCCTGTCTCGGAAATCGCTTCGGTGCTTTTTTAGAAGCAGGATATTTGATAGACAAGCAACAAATGAGGCCTGTTATCAGACAATTACGAGACAATTCCTCAATCAAATATTATGCCCCTGTAGCGTAATGCTGTCAGAGGGGAAACTAACGTGAGAGCGTGATAACTTTGGGAGAGACGGGCAACGGGGAAAAAATTCTTCTGGATCACTTCTCCACTTCATTAATCATTTGCTGCCAGAGTAAGACACCTAGCTATTATTTATTTGCACTTTCCCACACAGAGGCTATCACAACAAACAGGCCCACGGGCTGATGAGAACATTTGGGAGTGATTAATCAGTGGGCGGCCTGGCGAGACAGAAAGCAGGGGGAGGGGAGGTCTTACATGTGTTTCCTAATCTTTCATCTATATTCTGGTCAACTGGTAACCCAACTAAAACCAGAAAAGGTCCAAATCAGGTGAAATGGGCAGTACTGTCATGAAAGACCACGTAAATCAAATGAAAAGTGGAGACCAATCTGAAAATAAAAGCAGGGAAAGCAAAGAAACCGCGTGGCTGAGAAAAGCCACCAAAATGCCAGCGACTGCAGCCACATTATTCAAATTAAGCAGTTTATCCTGTATCACATACTGATAAACTGAGTCACCGAAACACACACAGCTACACTTGCTGGTTCTCATAGAGCGTATGGGGAAAAGGGGATTTTAGCACACCACAGCTGGCTCTCATGCGCTGGGTCGTGAACCGATTATAGGCTATAATCCTCTCCATTCAAGACGACGTGCATGTAGAAAACAGTGACAGGAACACAGGGGAGATCAACCGTCCTCGCAGCTTTTAATTTGATACGGTGGTTTTGCACGTCCAAGCCGCTCGCTTGTCTCATACATAAGTGGACATGAAAAGGTGGGGCACAATATCCTTTACAATTACTCTTAATCTTCATAATTCTCCACTAAGAAGTAGACTGTGGAGCAAATAAAACATGGGCGATGTACTAGAAGGACCATTAGGCATCCATCCTGTTTTAATGTAGCTTATTTTGCATTAACTGCTGCAGACTATAGTGAAGCCAGAAGTTAATACTGATAATAAACTGTCAGCAATATTTTTTATGTTTAATTTTTCTTACAAGCCCCGTTGTTACTTGTTTTAAATTCCCCACAGCTACCATCAACCCATGTGAACCCTTTCAACCTCCTGGAGCCAAGCTACATATAGATGGAGATTAAAATAAAAAAGACAGTGTTATCGGAATGAAATGATTCAGCTACTAGGGCTGTGGGTAATGAGGGAAACCTGTCCTAACAATGCCCTTATCCTCAGTGGTAATCCGAGCTACATCCAGGGAAAGCTAGCGCCTCACAATTGACTTATCGAAGGACGGCGGGTGCAAGGTGGTGCTGTGCATATAATATTTATGTGTTTCACAACAAAATAAAGCTCTAGCACATGGGGAAGTCAACCTACAACCAGTGTTTAGGCAGATATTAGATATTCATGTTGAATAGAAGTCTGTGGCGTGGCTGAGCATTGTGATGCCTGAGAAACCCCACTAGGAGCCTTCCTTGTTTCCTTGGATTCTGAGGCAAAAAAAGGCACTTGTGGGAGCTCATGAGGCCACGGGCGTCACTCTACAACTGCACACAATAGGTCATAAAATTCCTCAACATATATTCCCTGCCACCAGCTATTGCAGTTTACTCTTTCTCATTCCTCCATACTCTCACACAGTGTCTCACACCCACAATGTTAAAGAGAAAGTGGTTGTAATGACAGAGATAATAGACTCCATTTGCATGACACTTTTCACTGAGGTGCACTAAAGAGGTTTAGATGGCATCCCTCAGCCCCTACAGGCACGATGCATAATATCCATTCAACAGGCTGAGGGTGAGAGAATTTAGTCTAACGCGATAACTAAACGCTAATGCGCTGATCACGGAGCCCAGTGGGCAGTTATCAGAAACATGCCGTTAAATGGGGAATGCTGGACGTGGGCAGGCAAACAGAGACGGAAATGGATTGATGCTGGGAGCATGACCTCACCCTGCCCACGTGAAGCAATCGCACACAATTAAACCTTATTTATTGTCTCTGTCATCATCCTGAGTGACAAAAGAAGCCCAGTGTTAAGTGAGAAGCCTGCAGGACAGAGGTCTATGCTCCACATTTATTCATGTATGTTATCAATCTGTCAGGCGAGGATGGCAGCGCTTTCCCCTCTCCCCCAGGGCTTAGGACACGTGGACCCAGGGTGAGCACACACAGTCAGCACTTCAGCTCTTTGTTTGTCACCCCCCTCCCACTTTAACTGCCCCCCTGCAGGCTATGTGAGTGGGCCAGACAGACTTCCTGACTCAGGGATTTATTTGGCGTATTGGGGAG